GCAGGGCCTGGCTGGGATGGCAGAGCACCTGCTGAGAGCTGAAGAACCAAAGCTGAATAGCTGGAGCCCAAAAACCTGCTGGCTTACTAAAAAAACATGCTCCAAAATTTCTGGCTGATTACTTTCAACCCCCAAAACCTCCTCCAGCTGCTCCACAGATCCAGCAGTCAGCCACAAGGAAACACTTATTTTGATCCTACTCCCAGTGAGTCCCTTATTCCTTATTAATAAAAGCCAATTTCAACCATAATTAAAAGCTTGTTTGAGGGAACCTTCAGCCACTGCTCAGGATCAAAATATCAATCTATGAAAGAGATACCCTGCAGCAGAGCTATGATACCCACAGCTGCATCACATCCCATTTCTCTCTTCCTCTGCCACAGCCTCACCTACTGCAGCAGTTTTCTTGCAGCTAATGATGAGATAACTTCATTTCTTGAAAAGCCTGGTTTTCCCAGGAATGTGCCCCCCCAATCTTCCCAAATGCAGGCAATTGCTGGAAGAAAAGCACCAGCAGCTTCCAGATATCCTCAGTAACCTCAGCCAGGCTCCTAGCAAGGACCTCCATCTGTTCAGATACTCCATGCCACCACTGGTCCCTCTCTCTGTCCACTCCCAGGGCAGGCCAGGGCAGCGTGACAGGTTAGAGTGTCACACATCATGAGCTAGAGCTGTTCCCAAGGCCACCTTCATCATGAGTTTATGCAATGTCTTCCTCAGACTCATCTCTAGATCCCCATTGCCTGAGGGAATGTTGCCCTTGGCACCACACTTTGTACACAAAGCACAGGCTCTGGGACAGCCGGGACCAGAGGGGATGGTGGCAGTCAGGAGGGCAAGGGCCAGCATGCACACAAACCATCTGCAGCCACCCACCAGCCAGAGATCCACCACCGGGATAAAGAGCAGAGAGACAAGCCACAACTTGCTGAATTCCTGCAGGCCAGTGGGAGCTGTCAGGGCATGCTCTGGTGCCAGCTGCCTCCTCAGCTCTCATTTCCCATCTCCAGGCTAAACCGTGTTATCCCAGCACTGGCTAATGGCCATTAAACCTAGTCTCAAAAGGGGCATTTCTCACCTGGTCCTCACATGGTTAGTGAGTAATGAGCACAAAGCAGCCAGGCAGACCCCAAGTCAACCCAGGAGTGCAGAAAGCAGCAGTGAAACTGAGCAAAAAGCAAGTCATGTAAGGATCTGGACTTAAATGCAGCTGGGGAACAAACAGGATGGAGGGCGTGTGGGAGGAGGACACAGATGAGGCTGGTCAGGCTAATTAAGACCAGTTAGTGCAGGCAGGACCCTGATCCCTTTTGCAGGGGGAGGATGTGGGAGTGATGCTATGGGAACTGCTTGGGAAAGTCAGGATAAACCAGCACTTCCTCCAGCCTTGGCACTGCACCATTTTCTCAGTACTAGCAGAGCTGGTCTGAAGGGGTTTTTCCAGGGTTGTTCAGATCCTATCCCAGCCTCAGGAACCTGTTTTTGGTGCTCTGAGACCTCGGTTTCTGTTGGGTCTGTCTACGTTCCAGGGATGGATCAGAGCGAGAGTTTGTGACTGAACCTGGGGAACGAACAACTCCCTGACACAAAATGCTCTGCAATCCTATAGCTGAAATGTCACTTCATTTCCTTTGCTTTAGACAAAAAACAAAACCCAAAACCAAAGAACCACCCACACTTCCTCTGCAAGAATTAATCTGCCAGAGGATTTGCTAATCTGGATCTCTGGAACAAATTCAACTGGTCTTTCTCAAGTGTGATTTGCAAGTTCTGAGGCGTTTACACTTTGGTATCCAGGCACAAAGAATCACAGAACCATTTCCAGTGAAAGGCTGGAAAATACCTTTAAGGTTATTGAGTCCAACCGTTAACCCAGCACTGCCAAGGCCACTGCTAAACTCAGATTTTAAGTCCCAAAGCTGCTGCTGAGGCTCCTGAGCATGGGGCTGGTTTACCAAGCTGTAACATGCTGGTAGGGACAGGGAGAGCAGGGAACTTGCAGCCACCTCCACGGTGCCCCAGGCACAGCCTGTCCCCTGAGGGCTGCAACCAACTGCTGACAAGTGACATCCAGCAGAGACAAGCCCGTAGCACTGGGCCAGACTGCACCACTCGGGCTGAGGCTTTAATCAGAGCTAAATCTGGATTCTCTACTGTCACCTCACTGGATGACCTTGGAAAAGTCAGCTGGGATATAATATAAGCTAAATGGGAGAGGATGACAAAGAAAACCATGGTCTCAGGATGAAAAGGTACTTAAAAGGTCACTTATAAAGGTATTTACCAAGACAAGTGCTTGGCTTTCCTACCCTCCTACCCTGAGTGACTCCAAAAAGCAGTTTATCACCCCACTCAGTTTACAGTAAACATCTTGCTTCTGTACATGCAGCTTATTTTACACATTCATAAAATATGTGTCCAGCTCATGCCAGGGCTATGCATGATGGCAGAAAGGTGCAAGAAACCTTCTTATCCATTCCCATTCCTGTTCTAAAGCTGCAGGCATTGTCCAGTTTCTGAACACCCCCACTGGTTTGGGCAGTAGCTCTGTGTCTCCCCAGCTACACTCCTGACTTTCCTGCTGGACCCTGTGGCTGGGTCTCCCTTGTCAGTGACTCCAGAGAAGTGGGCTGCTCATCTCCTTGCAGAGGTGCCCCAGCTACAAGCTCTTACTGAAGACTATAAATGTCATTATTTGCATAACATAAACCTGAAATTGTGAAATATAAACCTCTTCCTTTGAGGTAAGCTACATAAACGGTGCAGGTTGTTGTGTCTCTTGGCATGAAGGGCTCCCTGTTCTTGCAGGGAGTAGCCAGGAACCCTCATGTCAGCAGCTGTTTGTCCCCCATCAGAGCTGAGAGAAAGTGAGGCACTGAAGAAGAAGGGTGAGTCACTGTGTGAGCACTCCTGGTCTGCTGCCATAAATAACAGCTAGGGAAATCCAAGGTTTGGATGTTGATGTCTTGGGGAATCACTAGAAGAAGAAACAACATTCAGACATGAACAGGAGAGGATTAACTTATCAGGGCAGACAGTGACTGCCAGAGAGTGACTGGAGAGAAAGACTGAAACAGGCAGTTGTTCCCTGTGTCCCATGCAGAGCACTCATGTGTCCTCAGGTGCTCCACAGGCTGGTAGAGAGAAGCACCTTTGCACTCTTCACCAACAAAAGCACACTGTTTGCAGTAGGCACCCAGGTGTGGCTATTGCTGTGAACTCCGATCCTATTCCCAACCCTACTAATATGGAAAGAAAATCTGCTTGTGAAAATCTGCCCGTGTTTCGCAGGTGTCCCAGTCCTGTCACGTTCACTGCTCAACACCAGGAGCACATTGCCTGAGAGCATCAAGCCCATAGGAGCAGAACAACACACACCAGCCCTCCACTTTCACACTGTCCATCCTATCTGGGTACCTTGGAAGGGTTAATCCGAGGGTTTGTGGCGCCGCTGTTGCCCGGTGTGGCACAGCCGGCTAAGAAAAAACTTGTTCCTTTACCTTTGTAAAGGAGGCATCGAGGAGGCAGTGAGGAGGTCGTGTAGCACCTGCAGCACATCCCCAGGGTCCTTGCAGTGACTGTGCAGGTCGGGCTGCCCAAGAGAAAAGGTGTCCTGCAGCCTGGGGCAGAAGGTAGACGAAAGCCATGGGGTCTGCAGCCCCACTGGAGAATCCTCGCCTGTAAGCAGGCACCCAGGGAGATGTGAGGGGAGCCAGGAATCTGCTGGATAAACTCAAAAGTTGGACAGGGCAGCTGGGAACAGAGAAGAGCTGTGCTTCTGCCTTTTTTTGCAGGTTTGCTGTTGCCGGGGAGAGGTTTTAGGCTGTTATCCAGCTAATTCACACCACAGAGACAAGCACTTGAATTAGTTGCATTATCTGTGCCCAGCTAAATTGGACAAAGGATTAAAGTGTGCTGAGCACCACCACCGTGATTTGCATCTCAGAGCCCCTTCCCACGGGCCCCCTCTGCTCCCAGCCTTTTTTTATTTCGTTTTCTGGCTGTCAGCCAGCCAGCATAAGAGCCCTGTTTACAGAAATGATGCCTAGGTTAATATTGCAAAAGACTTCATCAAAGCCTGTAGTCGCTACTGAAGCAGAAGGGTCTGACCGTGGGCCATGAGCTGACCGGGCTGCGCACACAGGGGATGAGCCGCAGCCACGCGGCACCGCCTTTCGTTTGACAAATTCTGGTCTCAGCCTGAGGTATGAAACTAACTTTCTGCCACCATGGCATATTTGGAATAATGAGCAAAATCAAACTATTATTCATCTCTAAAGCTGGACACAAAACCTCAATGCAGCTGTTGTTTTAGGGAAAAAACACTATTTGAGTGCTAAGTAAATACTGCGCTGTGCAGTGACCTTATGGGCTCTTTTTCTGAGCTCATCCAGCTGCCAGAGATTATTATTTTATGCATGTTTATTCATGTGGAGAGGATGCAGAATGCTATTGCTATACGTTTCTGTCAGTCTCAGAGAAATACAGACTGGGATCTCTCAGAAGCAGCTTCAGATCTAGAGAAGTAAAGCAAAAGCCTATCTGCCAGCAGTGGATTCTAATTAATTAATGCCTTTTAAAATGCTTTTTCACCACCAGTACTTTGTACGTAGGTGTAGTTTTCTTGAAAGGTTCACACTGAGCTCTGCTGTGACACATAATCTTTATAGGTTTCTATTTTACTTGGCATTTGCAGTTTTTCCTCCTCGGCATGAGGACTGAGTGACCTTAGCAATTGCCAGCAAGGGGACTCCATATGATGAAAGCAGGTGAAAGGGAAAATAAGGGCGGAACTAGGTAAAGCCAATTCATACCTCAGAGGAGGTGTGGTCCTGTCCTCTACCTAGCTGTGGTCACAGTCTTGTGAAATATAAAAGGAGAAGGCAGTGGTTTCTTAAACAATCTGGTGCCAGGATCCTGTAGTGAGAAGGAAGGGAGGTGCTGGAAGAAATGCAGAGCAAGAAGTCAAGAGTGTCAGCTGGGAAAGGTGTGGGACTCACCGGTGCTCTGAGCCTGTCAGCTCTTCCCTGAAGGCCTGTTTGCTGGGCTGAGGGTTGCATGGTAGCTGCACTCCCTTCCCCAGCAGGCTGGCTTAGAGGAGAACAGAGCTATCATGTCCCAAGGAGAAGCAGCAGGACGTGGCACTGCCAAGCCCCAGGACCAGGGATGGGCATGGATGGTCCTGCTGGCTGAAGTGGTGCTGCAGGGGTTGACGCTGGGCTTCCCATCCTGCATTGGTGTCTTCTTCACGGACCTCCAGCATGAGTTCCAGGCCAGCAACAGCGAGACATCATGGTTCCCGTCCATCATGGTGGCCGTGCTGCACGGAGGAGGTGAGTGATGGCAGGTAATGGTCTCCTCCACAACCTGTCTTGTGCTGTTGGTGGGAGGATGTAATGAAGATACTTTCAGCATTTCGTTAAGGCAGGTGGTGGGAGGGACTGGCTGTTTGGCAGGACACAGCATTTCCAAGCCACTTGGATCCCACAGTCCAAAGCTAAATGCCCACAGATTCCACGCTCCCTTTTGTCACTCCCAGAGTCAGCCAAGACCCTTGGTCAAAGAAGGCAAATCCCTTTCTCAGCCCAGTTTTTCCCGATCAGCAAGACCATAGTTATATCTCACAGAAGCTCTTTGAATAAGCCAGCACACAGTGTTGCTCTGGAGCTCTGGTGCTTCCTTGGTTCATCTTGTCCACAAGAGCACATCTCCTTCCAAGTGCCACATGACAGCTCTGTTCTTTGTGGCTGAAGAGATGCCAAAAGCTGAGCTCCTCAGTGCTGCCAGCTGAGGCAAAGCCTTAAAAGCAGCTCCTTGGGCATGGCGCACACACCTACGCAGGCATCAGGGTGGATGTGAGCAGGGCTGGATCCCTGCAGAATGTGGGTCAGGCAGCACCCTCCGGCTGCAGAGGTGGAAGGAACATTGTGCTCTGGGGATAGGGGAGTGAATCACTGGTTTTCCCCTCAAAAAAAATATGGGAGCAGCACAGGGCAGTTGTCCCAGATTCCACACATAGATGTGGGGATTCTTTTTCTGCAGAGAGAAAAGCAAATCTTCAGCAGTTCAAGGATTTCCCAATGAGTGGTCTGTGCTTTGTGACTCATACAAATCCTGTGCTTATTTGATAAACAGACAACCCAAACCCTACTAGGCAACAGAAGGAAAGTTCCCAGTGTTGCTCATGTGTCCAAACTTCTCCTTGAGTTCATTCATGCTCCCTTCCAATGCTAGTGAAAGTTGATACTACGTTATAAAGCAAAAAAACAACCCCAGAGCCCTGATTCACCCTAATGCAAAGGCTATGGCAGGCTCAGTCTGTACCATGCAGGATATGGTTGGCAGCCACCTGCATGGAATTGAGAGTTTGCACCTTAGCAGAAACAGCTGGGTCCAGAATATCAAGATGCAGATGGAAAGAGATGTCAAGGGAAGTGACAGGGGGAGGAATCACCACTGAGAGACAGCAGAAATAAAGCAGTATCCTCGGGGCTTGGAATTTGGAAGTTGTTGGGCATTCCCAATCCTGCTTTCCAGCTCCTGTGATGCTTCTGTGATTAGTGGGAAGGATCCAGCTGGGACCTGATGGCTCTGGGAAACGGTCTCAGAAGCAGCTTGGACCCAGCATGTCCAGGAAGGACAACTCTGGCAGGATCCACAAGAATGTCAATTATCTTGTCATTTTTAATGAAGTAATTGTTGTATAGGAGGCTAGAACCACTGTAAAAGGTAATACAAATTCAGCCAATACATAGATCCAAAAGTTATATATTAGATAAGGAAAGAATAGCCTTGTCTTGATATTCACAATAGAATTAGTCAGGGCACAGCCAGAGAGTTGTACTTTGCTTGCCAGTTATGCCTCCTGTTGCAGAGTGTTACAGCACAGGAGGGCTTATTCTTTCCCCCAGTAGCAGAAGGCAGCAGTTACAAAAAGCAGAAGGAAAAAAACCCCAAATAAACAGAGATCAAAGCTTCCCTCTCAGGCCAAGCACATATGGCTTTTGCTGCAACTTCTGACCTCCTTTGGAGGGGGCCAGGCTTTACTTGATTCAGGTTTTCTGATTATATTTCAGCACTTAAATCTTTCATAAAATTGCATGCTGCTGTCACCAGTATCTCTTAAAGGCTTCACTCTATTTTCTTCACCTTTATTCTTTTTAATTAAGGAGAAAAAAAATTATATGTTGCAAAAATTGGAAAAGGAAAGGAAATGGGCAGAGCAGCCTGTTGTCAGAGCAGCCAGTACTTCCATGCAGGAGAGCTATGGAAGGAAATGGAGAAGGGCACAGGGCAAACATTAGCTCACAACTCAGTCAAACATACCCCATTATCGGTGCTACGTTCCTAGGTAAAAGCCATTAATGATTATTTTGTTATAAGATAATTTGAGAGACCTAGGATCCTACATCTGTCTGCAAAAAGGGATTTCAGGCTGTTACAGGTTCCTGCTCCTAGATATCCATGCACACAGAACATTCTGCACTAACTCATACAAATGCAGCACTTTTGTTGATATTATTCTTGCAAAAGAAAGCACAAAAGCCCCAGGCAAGTGAGAAATAACATTTGAAACCCAGACAACAAGTAACCAGGAACTAATAATGAAAAACCCTTATGGTTTTTAGAACCAATCTCATTATTTTCTAGTGTTCGATTTATGCCTTCTTGGCATAAATCTAGTTAAACAGCAGTACCATCCTTAATGTCTTCAGCAGGAGGAAAAATAATCCAGTCACATTTGCTGGACACTTTTTCAAAGGCTGGTGAAGTCGGAGGTGAAAATTTCCCAAGCAGATCAAAATACAGACAGCTGCACTCCTAATTTTAATAATGTTCCACTGTTCACTTGACTGTGTGGGTTTTATTTCAAACCAGATGTTGATTTAGGTCACAAATATGCCACAGGTTATATTCCCTACACTGACTGACTCCTAATTCTGCAGCTTACAGTCATTTTGCATTTGCTTCCATAACCTTGAGTCTTCAGAATTGGGAAAAACATTAATAAAACCTGGAAAACCTTGAGGATCCTCAAGGGAACAGGAAAAGAAACTCTACCTTCAGATCTTCTTCTGCCAGAGCATGCAGACAGAAGCACCTTCCCAGTGGTGGGCTGCAGGTGTGAATTAATCTTTCCCTGCCCCAAAATTAAGGACATTAAATGTCATAAACAAACAAGCAATTTATCATAATCTCATGGAATTCATCAGAAGTCCATTTCCAGGCATTTTAATTAAAATCCATCACATCCTACTCTATGATCAAAATCTCAGCAGATCACAGACTTCACCTCAGCCAACAAGCTGGCCAAGCACTTGGGAGGATCACAAAATTTATTTTCTCTTCCTGTCTCCCTCACATTAAGCTGCCTGGAAAACCTTCAGGGCCTCTAGACTACATCATTTGATAATTGCAGCAATCCAGCAGGTACAAAATACTTCCTTTCTCTCTAACTGCTTCCCTTTTCCTTCTCTACTTCCAGGGCCCCTCTGCAGCATCCTGGTGAAGCGGTTTGGCTGCAGGTTTGTGGTGATGCTGGGTGGGCTGCTCAGTGGGCTGGGAATGGTGTCCAGCTCCTTCTGCAAGTCCATCAGCCAGCTGTACCTCACAGCAGGCCTCATCACTGGTACGTACTAGAGAGCAGGGAATCTCAACTTCTGTGCTGGAGATGGGAAATGGGAGAGCCCTGACTAAGTGGTCACATTTTTCCACTCATCTGTGAAATAGGAGAACTCAACAGCCTCCCAGCACAGCAGAAATCCGACAGCCACTAGACTTGGCTTCCACACCCTTTTAACACTCACCTCACCCACTCAAGCTCGCTGGGAAGTGCTTCTCTCTGGAAAAAGCTACAGGTCTCCAGAGGCTAAAATGGAGAAAAAGGATGTCTATTCTTTTTAGTAGCTTCTCAGTCTTTTGTCTTTCAAGAAGGGAGGGGTTTTGTTGTTTTTTCCAATCTTGGAACATGTGTTGGGATAATGTCCTTCTCAGATTCCCTGAGCTTTTAATTCACCACTTCAAAACTGGGAGAGAATGGAGACATATTTTTCTAACAAAAGACCCTGTTGGTTTTGAACAGAAATAACAGATGGGAACTTTTCCTTTCCAAATATTTCTCCTATGTAACTGACGTTCAACTCTTGGTTTTTAATAACACAGAGAAATTAATTCCTTACTCTGGAACCATTCCTGCTGGATCTTGCAAGTTAAGCAGTGGCCACTGCATAGAGAGAAAAACAAGCAACTCCCTGAGCCCTGATGAAAGCATCAGGAGAGAAGCACTGCTCATTGCATGTGGTATAAAATCCAATCTTTTAGTGAACAATTCCATAGCAACTTTAGGAATTGCAGTGTGTCCCATAAAAACATCTGTTTAGATCAGTATATTTACTATACCCAAGAAGACAAATACTTCAATTTACACACAACATCCTTTTTCATCCCTGGTGTCAGGTTTCTGAGTATTAATCAATCCCTGGGGGCTGTGTGGTGGGTCAGAAAATGCTTCAATGGCAGATGAAGTAATCTGTGGGTACATCCTGAATTTGGGTTCTTTTTACCCTTTAAGACAACAAAGAAGGATCATTTATTTTCATCTCTAGGTCTAGGATCATGTTTCAGCTTCCAGGCAGGAGTGACTGTGCTGGGCTACTACTTTGTACGGTGGCGAACACTGGCCAATGCCGTGGCCTCCACCGGTGTCTCCCTTGGTTTCACGCTGTGGCCGCTGTTGTCTCGATACTTGCTGGATGAGATGGGATGGAGAAACACCTTCCTCATCTTTGGAGGAATACTCCTGAACTGCTGTGTTTGTGGAGCCATCATGAGACCCATTCAGCTGGCATCAGGGTCACTTCCACAATCTGCCAAGCCCAAAGAGGAGCCAGGGAGCAGAGCAGAAGAGGTACAGCTGTCCAATGGAGCATCTCCTCACCACCCCACACTCCAGCAGCACACCAAAAGGACAAAATGCTTACAGATGCTGCAGAAGTACCTGGCTTTTGACATCTTCTGTCAAAACAAAGGGTACCAGATTTACACTGTTGGAGTAACCTGGATGATGATGGGGTTTGCCTTACCCCATGTCTACCTTGTGCCTTATGCCACCCACCATGGGGTGGAGGAACGCAAGGCAGCCCTCCTCATCTCCATCATCGGGTTAATCAACATCTTCATCCGCCCTCTCACAGGGCTGCTCTCAGGACACAGAGTCTTCACAGGAAGACGCATCTACCTGTTCAGCCTGGCCGTGCTCCTCTGCGGGCTCAGCAATTTCATCTGTGTCATTTCAGCTGAGTTCAGTGTGCTCATCCTCTACTGCATCATCCTCAGCATAGCCATGAGTGGCATTGGGTCGCTCATCTTCCAGGTGCTCATGGATGTGGTAGAGATGGACAGGTTCTCCAGTGCTCTAGGG